TTCCTGTGTTTGTGTATGCATGTGTTTGTTCCTGCTTCCTGTGAAGTTCTGCTGGAACTAATGTGATAGCTTTAGACATGATCTAATGGTAATCACTAAGACCATTACACAACACAACAGGCTGGAAAAGAGCTGGACAGTTGCACAGACATGGTCAGTGACTCTCTGTGATTTGGGGACTGTGCTGGACCTGTACGTCTCAGCAGATGAGGTTATTTTAGACGGCACACTGTTCATGTTGTTTTGTGTGGTGATTTTACATACGGCTGCGATTGAGGGCTTTTTTCCATCTCCTGCAGGCGGATGAGTCACATCTGCACCGAGGAAGATGACCGGCTGCTGGAAAACCACTGGTCTGGATGAGGAGGGAAAAGAATATATATAAGTTTTTGCTGACTACAGCTTCAATGTTACACTTTTATAATTCAAATGAGAGTGAGAGTTTTTTTCCACAAACCTGCCCTGTGGCAGGAGGATGTTGTTGACTCCTCCCAGCTTGACATTGATCTTCAGGCAGAGGTTGGAGAGAGTCTGAGGTGTTGTCTTCTGAACATTTTTCACTTGCACACACTGTGTGGCCATGCCGAGTACGGTGTCTCCAACACGCTTCACTTCGGCTGCACACACACAAAAAACAGTTCAATAAATTTAACTTGATGAAATGCTCTGAGCTACACTGATCAGTCACAGACATTGTGGGGAGGAAGCAGAGTTTTGCTCCTCCACACTTGTGACCTGAAAGTGGTTTATTGTGGATGGAATGGCATCACTGATGTTTAAATGACAGAGTGAGACGGGAAGGAATTTAGGAGAGCAGATGGAGAGGATTATACAGAGAATGTAGCTTTATTTGGTCCTTATTTTCTTGTGGTTATCTCTGTAAGCAGAAATAGAACCAGTAAAAGTGGCTCAGCAGGCGCTGCACCCGAAGCCAAGTCCAGATTCACTAGACCAACTGTAGCAGCTTTAAATATAACGTACTCACAATCATACAAATCCACACTTTGTTTTTAATTGCACCTTACATTGAAAAAAACCAACACAGATACTTTAGGACGCACATATCAGCTTACTAAAACAAGTTCACCTATTTCTCCCTTCCAAGATCTATTCGAACAAATCAAATCAATTAAACAGGAAACAGTGGTGAGTAGGACTCTCACCATAGACGGGCGTCTTCCCTGGTAGGATGACCACCACCAGCTGCAGGCCCTGGTAGGTGTATTTGAGATGCCTGAACATGGGCTCCACACTGTCTGCTCCCTGGGCGTACTTACAGAAGCAGGGCTGACCCTGGATGGGCACACGCGAGATCTTCCTCAGCTGCTCTGTAAAAGCCCTACGACAAATGAGGATTCTCGAATTAGTGTTTAGTGTTAAAAATGGAAATTTTAAAACAAATCATTAGAATTCATGCATATTTACTTACTTGAGCAGGAGCTCGGTACACTGTCTCTGTGGTGCAAAGCAGGCGATGGCCCACACTTTAATCTCAATGCCCGTATGGAACTGTTTGTTTCTCATGTCCCATACTCCCTGGATAGGTGTGGCTATTGCTTTGTTCTACAAATTGTAACAAGTGAATTATTCTTAGAATTTAAAGTGAAAAACTGAATAAACAAATGTCTTTTATTACAGCTGCATGCATATGAGGTAAATCGTTAGTTAGTGGTGGACATACCCTTCCTCCATACAGGATTGACGGTGCCTGCAGGACACGTCCGTTTACTTCTGTCATTTCATCTCTGACCATCACGCCAAACTCACGAACGTAAGGGTCGGTGTTAAAGTTGGCACTTCTCATCTAGGAAGAAAACCACAGAATAAACTGGGAATTATTCAAGATCCGGGAGACATAATAATCAACATTAGTTGCTTAGATGTAAATGGCTGACATCATTACAACTTATACGCACCAGTTTACTGATCTCATCCTGACGGTCAGGTGCTGATCGGGCTGTGGCACGAATCATAGTGGATGTTTGATTGTCCGTCAGTTTTTTGATGCAGCGCTGACCGGCCACGATGTTACACACCTGTGAATGGCACACAAAAACTATACATTTGAAAAAAACAGCAATATTGTCTTTAAAAAATATTGCTGGAAGAGCAAACTGATAGTCACCTCCAGAGGTAGGTAGGTGTGCTTCTGCTCCTGCCCCACCTGCAGACAAGGCAGGTGGGGGTATCGCAAGATGAGCTTGTACTTGTCTTTGAAGTATTGTGCTACTGTGCATTCGATGGTTTGGCCGTTTTCCTGCTGCAGAGGGAACCTGAGAATCACAGAAGAGAGTCAAAAGATTAAACATTCACACAAGTGGTAAACAGACAAAAAAGAAAAACAACAACATTGAAAAGTATTAGCAAAGCTTTACGTTTGATGGCTGGCTGGTCTCCTGGTCACATTGCACACTCTGTACTTCCTTTTCATCTGCCCACAGTGGGTGATCTCCACCTTCAGGCCTGGACAGATGAATTATCATGATTTCAAAAATACACAGTCATTCTCAAATAAGGGTTTAAATGAACATATTAAACAAAAGCAGGGTTTCAGATTCTCCAGTTTCCCTATAATAAGTAAATTAAGCAACTAAGTAATTTTTCAATCTGTGGCCCAATAGTGTAAATAACATTTCACTTCATGCAGTACGGCCATATATATGGAAATGTATGATTAGTAATATATAACAATAATACTGAACTAATACACCATACAATCAATTCAGTCAGAAAACACACTAATCATCAAGGAGCTGCTGAACTGCACTCACCCTTGATTTCTTTTGTAAATTTCACTCGTTGGGAGTCGGTTAAGGGCTTTTGTTGTTCTTCAATGCTTTTGAAATCCAAGACCTCACACATAAACTCAATGACAGGTTGGGCTTTGTAGAATGCAGTGGCAGAAACTAGGAAAGACATAAACACATGGAATTACAATCGGAATACGAATTACTTGAAAAACATTTTTGTCAAAATGATAACTGGGATTACCATCGATGTTGAGCATCATTTTCCACAGCGACGGCCTAACAGACTGATGGAAACCAAACCACACCTCCCTGCCACCACCGAGGGGGTTCGAACATCCCTCTGAAGGAGTGAAGAAAGATCGACCAACTGGGGTATACCTATGACACAGGGCATGAATACCAGACTTTCATCATTATAATTAGAACAAGCCTACAACCGTTCAAATATGGGTCTGCAGTTCAGTTTAATCCCACAAAGTCAGAAATACTAGCAACATTTCTTTAAGCTCATATGCTAAATTTTACTGTTTAACGATTCAGTTTTACCCACCTCATTGAGGGCAAATGCCGCATGACCACATCCAAAGCTTGAATGGTTTCAAAGGGGACACTGGGTAACCGTCCTGAAAGCGCCTCATGTAGAGCCTGCAGACTAACGCAAGAGACCCACTTGATGGCTACTTTGAAACTACGGTCTTTGCCTTCACCAGGAATGGTTACTTCTAGCTCCACCTGTACAACAAAAAGAGCAGTTGAGATGCTGGACGGGGGATTTCAAAGACAGTCTGGGATATTTTACAACCCTTTAGTTGTGTGGGACACATACTTTGTCTCTGCCTATTGGCAGGGGCATGGCAGTGTAGAGATTCTTTCTCCCATCATACACCGGCTTACGATCTCCAAAGATTTGGGTTTTAAAGTGCTGGACCATGTGCTCCACGATTTCACTGAAAACAAAATGATAAAGACGTGTTACCACATTGCACCCCGATACGGATTCTCTACATCCTGAGAGCTGCAGATTAATTTAACATGCATTTACCGATTAACTCTCCTGGGACACTTGTCGGGCTTGATGTCGATGTCATAATGATACACCTCCAGTTTGGGAATTTCCATTTCAAAGAAATTTGCCTGGAGCTTGATTGTCCTTCCCATGGTGCCAAAATCTGGCCGCGATGGAGGCTTGAACACATATTCTGGCACCGGAGGTGATGGAGGGTCTACAGATATGACAGAAAAAACATTAATTCAGGTCACAAGCAGGACAGATTACGAATGGTTTTGGTTTGAGCAAACAAACATTTGGTGAAAAATATGATTGTCAAATGATCTGCCAAGAACCAGCTCTGATAACGCCCAAACCAATGCTGGCAGGGTGAGAGAACACATATCTTGGGTTCCAGGATGTGTAAGCCATAACCTTTTACAATGCAGACCAAGTTCAGACATGTCTGAATAGGCTCGAGAAGCTATCTTTGTTGTCATTATTCTCTGTGTGTTTTTAACCTCCATATTCGAGATAAAAGAAATTGATGCATGTTCTTTTCTTCCATACTTCTTTCATAAAAAGTCTCTAAAGTAAATCTTTTTTTCAACCATCATTACACACCAGATGTAAAACAAATTCATCATAAGTTGTCACTTTAAGCATAAATGCACCTCCGCAAATTTAGACACTTTGAGCCAGACATAGCCCTCCGTCTGTGCCTTATCTTTGTGCTTCAGCTACGTTCTTTCAAGCAGGTTGACGCCCATTAAACCTTGTGATATATGGTAGGTATACTTAAATAGCCTTTAGGGTGTAACGTGCTCGACAATTCAAATCTCAAAGTGAGGTGCAGTTACGGGGAAAATTGACTTTCTATAAAATGAAGCCGCCAGTCTTTTCCAGAATGTCATCTTCTGCACCAGATTACCGGTTTCCATTTTGCTAGGCAATTTCATTAGCAAGTCAGTAGGTAAAACAAAAAAGTAATTGGATGGATGTACATTCAGTTAGAGGGAACCTAATATGGAAATTGCTTACCTGAGCTTATTGATCCAGAGGAACGGGCCCCCTCAACCATCTCAACAGCTGCAGGAGACAAAGATTGTTTCATAAAATAAATTAAATGCCCGCTTAGATTGGAACAACACCAATGGCGAAAAAAAAAACAAAGCACTACTAACATGATAAACAAGGACCATCAATAAAATTACACATACACGTTCCAATATTTCACACACTTCATTTTAGTATACCCTGCCCCTTTATCGCTTCCACAACCCACATTCAAGAGTGACTTTTCAGAAGCTCTTATCAATATACACAGAGGCGACGATGCAAGCTGGCAATCTTGCTGAACTGAAACCGCCCGCTGTCCTGGAAAGACTTAATCTATGACAACCCTGTATGGAGTATGCAACCTTCTAATTGTTTAGGATTAGATTTTTGTTTATTGATCATTTAACACAGATTCCATCTGTGTGCAGATTCTTAAGTCAAAATGTGTTATAGTTCTCTGTTTGTAAGTAAAGGTAAACAGAATACATTTGGTATATAGACATGTCTACAAATGTAACGTTTTAACTACATTGGTGTTTATCGGGTTAAATGAGTTATCAATGGGTCTAACTTTGTATTGTATGTTATTCTAAATAAAACAATTCAGGCAAATTACAATAAATGTTGTAACAGAGCAAACGGATCTATACTGTAAGTCAGGTGGACTGTACCACACTTCACATGTACATTTAGCAATGTACCCATTATATTTTTATGGTTAGATTATTCCACTGTATGTCAACATAGCAATTAATTGAGATTAAGAACGATATGAAAAGGACGAAACATTGTAAAAAAATCGTTTCGTGAATAACCACAGCTTAGGTAGCAATTCCAATCGTTAACAAAAACTTCATGAATTGTAGTACAAAGATAATTATCTGTGTACGTTAAAGGAACAGGTTGTAGTGAAGTGAATAATTTCACTCTTAGACTTGGGTCGTAATGTTTCTACAACTCCATAAAGCGAGGAAGCGCTTGGGCTAACTTGGCTAACGGCAGCTCGTTGTTGTTGCAGGCTAGCTCAGATTACCTCTCCACTAATGCCTCCACTTAAGTCTGGCCCTAGATCTTCTTAATTTAGATGCTCTGTGTTTTATAAAATGACTAAAAGCATAGGAGCTTCTGTTTCGAGGTAACAACTAGACGTCGCTTGGTAGCAAAATATTTGTGATAATGAATTGATTTTACGCCGGGAGCATCTACTAGCTGATGCTAATGTTAGCTACAGCACTTACCTCCAGCAGAGGAATACATTTTGTCGACTTTCAAGCGTGAGTTCTGGACGTACAGTACTCCACTTTATTTTCTTGGATTACCACACAAACTCATGCGTGGTCAGAGTTGTTGGTATGTACAGAATGGAGGGAGGACGCCCAGATTAAAAATAAAGATATTTTAGTTAGCGAAGTAGTAAATATTTGGAGTCTCTCATCCTCGATACGGCCCCATCCCCCCAGCACACAAAACAGAAGCAAAAGACCCACGCAGGCCCAGCGCATTCACTCTCTTCTACTTCCGCCTTTGGTCACTTCCCATACAGAAAAAAAACCCATGTAGTTTCATTTCAAGGGGTTTGTGTCCAACACAAATCAGATTACTTAAACTTTATACACTTTAATTAATTAACATTTCAATTAATGGCCACTTCAGGGCCAATATTTTTCCTATTTGGCACTGCAGTTTTTGAAACAAAATAAATAAGAAAACGAGTAATCTTTTATAGACGTGAGGGAGAGTAACTATCTTGCTTGACGTTCTCTTTGTGATAACAGATAAAAATGTACGCGCGCTCCTACGTTTGACCTCGATTCAAATCGAAAAAAAAACAAGGACACATTTGTTACAATAAGTATATAAATATTAAGCTAACTGTTCACAATTAATTTTATTTTTATTTTTTATCTTCTTAAAAATGTAGTCAATAAACAAAGTTTGTATATTTTTATGAACAAGCCGGATGACCCAGGAAGAAAAAAGTCTGTCCTGACGTTGGTGTTTCCGGTGATTAAAGACGGTAAATGAACGTTTCAAATATCAATGGGATCCTCATGGGAAATTCGCAGATGCAGCTGTCTTCACACTTGAAAGGAAGTGTCTCAATAGTCAAGTACATTTTACTTGTATATTAATTTGCACAAAACGTATTTGGGGGACATTTTTGGCCTCTCATTTAATGCTGGGGCGAAGTGCAGTACTATTGATTGCCCACTGGTCGGCGCTGTTTACCATTGAATGTATCAGACTGAGCTACTGAGCTTTGATTTAACTTCTGTGGTTTCCTATTAGATGCATCTTTATTGATCTTTTAAAAAAATAAATAAATCATTTTATATAACAACTTTTTTAGCCCTCAAAATGTAAATTTATGATAATAATAGATTGATGTTGTTTTCATTGTTTTCATTAAAAATCACATTTGGTGGGAATTAAATCCCATTTAGCAAGAGACTATAATATAAAATGTACATTATATATTGAATTTGCTGGTGGATTTATTAAATAATTATTCATGTAAAATGGCTAGTTTTATCAATTTAAGTCCGCACGTATGTTTAAAAACGATTAAACGTCATAAAATGAACAGGTGAAAATAATTACATGATTCAAACAGTCACTTCATTGTTTTGTTTAAAAAAACTGCATGCGTTTATAAAATGGATACATTAAGGAATTATGAATAAAAAATATTAACCTGAATTAACAGTCAATATGGCTGCTTCTGCATAAAGGTTTTGTTTTATTACCAAATGTTTGCCTCTCTAATTCATCCTTTACGTAAACTGTCCACTGGCGAACACTTTAATTGCTCTTATTGATTGATAGAGTAAAAACACAACAATGCAGCCCATGGCCCTGGTGCTTTCCCCCTTATAAGAAAGCTGGCGGAGTGAATTGGGTGTAGCTGAGTCTGTGTGCGACTTGGCCAATGGAACCAGATCCTCCCTGCAGTGCGTAAGAGCGCGGTTTAGGATTTAACCAAGTCTTTGCTGCGGGGCTGGCTGCAGTCTTCAGTAGAGTCCGACGGCCTGAGAGCCTTCCAACGATGCCAGTGTAGTCTCCACACCGCTTTGGATCACACCGACCTCGACTTTTTTTAATGATAATTAAACACTCGTAATTTAAAAAACAACACGCGCGAAAAGAGAAAACTACACGTTGGCTTCCAAAGTATGACTGGAGTATTCGACCGGAGGATCGCGAGTGTGAAACCTGCAGACTTCCAGAGCTCCTTCCAACTCTCAGCCATGCACCACCCGTCTCAGGAATCTCCCACTTTACCTGAGTCTACAGCCACGGACTCTGGCTACTACAGCCCCGCGGCTGGTGGAGTCTCTCACGGCTACTGCTCTCCCAGCTCCACCACGTACGGGAAACCGCTCAACGCGTACCAGTACCAGTACGCGGGCGTCAATGCGTCTGCTGGAAATTACCCGACCAAGTCTTACACCGACTACAGCTCGTACACGACCCCCGCCTATCACCAGTACGCAGGGACTTACAGCAGAGTACAAGCCCAGCCGAGTCCACAAGGTACGGTCTCAAGTTTATTTTGTCATGTATATATTTATGCACTTTTAACATTGATCTATTGTTATTTTGTAAAGCAGTTCCTTTGTTATTGAGTCGTAGTGAAACACAGTTTTAGCCATTTTACTGACGTCGGATTGTTCAGCACACTGATCTAACATGTACCAAACGGATCCAATTTTACAAATGAATACATTTATTGATTTAAAACCCAGACAATAAAGGCGTCCGACCAATTATGAAAACGTGCTTTTAAAAATGAACGTATATCTGGCGTCGTGTTCACGTTATAAATCGATCACCCAATACAATTTTTGTCAGAAAATGTGCACATATTTACTGTTGCGTTTATTGTCGACAGAAAAAGAGATTAGCGAGCCTGAGGTGAGGATGGTAAATGGCAAGCCGAAGAAAGTGAGGAAGCCCCGGACGATTTACTCCAGCTTCCAGCTGGCCGCCCTGCAGAGGCGCTTCCAGAACACACAGTACCTGGCACTGCCGGAGAGAGCCGAGCTGGCTGCCTCACTGGGGCTAACGCAAACACAGGTGAGAATATTATGTCATTTTACAACTAATTTTGATACGGGCCAAGAGGCAATCAATCAAATCAATGTTATTGATATTTGTTCTATGCACCTTTACACGACACTGTAATTTTCCGTCCTTTGTGTTCTTGATAATCCATATTAATGTGTTTCTTCTTTGTTTGTTTGTTTTAGGTCAAGATTTGGTTTCAGAACAGGAGATCCAAAATGAAGAAGCTCATAAAAAACGGCGAGCATCTACCGGAGCACAGCCCGAGCTCCAGCGACCCCATGGCGTGCAACTCTCCACAGTCCCCGGCCGTCTGGGACACACAGGGCCCGTCCAGGCCGCACAGCCTACAGCCACAGAATATCAACACGACGCCGTCTAACTTTTTGGAAAACTCGGCCTCTTGGTACACCACAGCCGGAACCTCAATGACGTCCCACCTGCAGAGCCCCAACTCGATACAGCACTCACTGGCTCTTGGAGCAGGGACGTTATACTGAACAAAGAAGCAAACAAGACAAAAAAGAAACGGAAAAAAACCCCTTGTTGTTCATTTCAACCCCCCCTTTTCTCTCCTTCTTTGGGACTCGTGTTCATTTTTTTTTCAGAGGAATATGCAATGTATTTGATGCCAGTCATAGAAGAACCGTGTAAAATGTGTAAATGTGTGCATGTAATTTATTGCATTTTTTGGAAGACTATTAAACGTTTAAATGGACAATGGTACTCTGAGAGCCCCCCCCCTCTCTACACGCTGTTGTTATTATAACACTCGGGTTTTACACTCAAAATCACGACGCGAAATCTCACGCATCCGTAACGTCAGTTAGCGTCGGTTGCCATTTACTGAGCAGAGATATCAATATTTACCATAATTTCTCTTTTGCTATTTTAAAAAATGAAATAATTAATTTTAAATTATCTTATTATTTTGTAGTTAATCTACCGCTAAATTATTAATCCACCATTTTAATAACTTTGTATTTTTTATTATATTAATATTAAACACCAGATGATTCGCTTGTTCTGCTTTGCCCGTCTGTTTCATGAAGTATATGGGAAAACGACAAATTAAATTGTGGGAAAATCGTTTTAATTAACCGAGAATTATATTCATTATCGTTAACATTTGGCTTGAATGAAAATTTTTTTAACTCCTAAGTCCGGGTGCATTTAAAACAAATTTTACAAAATAATTACTTAAAAAAATGTCAGAAAATGTCCTCCGGCAACAATTATTTCACTATTTAAAAATTGCTTTATTGTTTTGTCACTTATATATAAATCCATAATTATAATTTATCCATATATAGTAGTCTCTGATTTATATTGTTTTTCCAAAAAATCCAGGTATTCTATCGTCAAAAGAGACCGAATGTGTCAATTGACTAAAACAACGTCCACAATAATAATACTACGAATAATAATAACAATAATAATAATAGTACCAATAATAAATATGACATTTCGAACTCTTGACTTTTTCTGAGAGTGTGTTTCAGCATGTCTCTAAATAAACCGTGTCGAGCGTCTTCTTGCAGCAGACCTTAGTTTTGCAGTTCCCTGCAATTAGCCGCTGTGAATGGCAGAGAGGAGGCGATGGGGGCGGCACAGAGATCTGAGACAATCCGCATTCCTGTGGGGGTAGACCGGCTCCAGAACGCTGCCAGGCCCGGCAGCAGCCCACCTTCCGCGTAAAAAAAAATTAAAAGGAAGAAAAATGGAAAAAAAAGGGGGAGAGAGATAGTGAGGGAGAGAGAGAGAGAGAGACAGAGAGAGATCCTGCCGCAGAATCACCATGTTATTATCAGGCTGCTCCACCAGCCGCTAAACAAACCGTGTCACTCACAGACACATTATGGGATTTGAAAATGGACCTAATTAAATTTACAAGGCCATGTGCAGAAGAAAAATTCGACTTTTTTCTTTCTTTCTTTCTTCTTCCTCTTTAAAGAACATGTACATACTGCAGTACATACAATCAAGTACACGCACTTACATACTACATTTTACAGCACCAGACCTACAGGCTGATGCACGTGCATGTTACCATTTCCACCTGACACACTCTTCATTTGGCAGATTTTAGCCAACACACTCACACATTATATACTATAAAGGTGGACAGTATTTTGTAGTATATTCTGGACAACTGTGATCCATTCATACATTCATATATTTGTACGTACATTCATTACTCACTCTCTCACACAGGTGCTGATGCCTCCATCTATTCCGTCATCCATCATTCAGCTATTTATACATCCATCCTCCCATTATCCAATCATTCATCTATCATACATCCAACCAGCTATGATCTAATAATACATTATAGAACCTACAGCCTTCCTTCCATCCATATATGGTTTTCACTCACTCACTCACTCACTCAATCACACTGCTGCATGTCTTTCACTCACTCACTCACTCACTCACACTGCTGCATGTCTCCGTCCATCCATGCAACAATTATCCATCCATTCATCCATCCATCCCTTTTATCCATCCCCGTCTTTGTTTCTCACTCACTCACAATCACACGCACACACAACCTCTCTCTCTCTCTGTCTCTCCCTTTCTCTCTGTCTCTCATTCTAGTTCTCTCTCTCTTTCTCTCTCTCTCTCTCACACACACACACACAGACACACGCACAGACACACACTCGTGGGTGCCATTATATCGAGAGCCCCCGTTTATGTCCAACCGAACATTTTCCACTCAGCTAGTTTTCCCCCCGTTTTTGCAAATCGAGTCTAAATAATGACAGTTAGCTTTACTGGACAGCTTCAACTGTAACACTCCACAATAATTATTCTTCAGGATTAGGGCCTCCATTATCATAATCTGGACATTGACAATTACCTATAATTTGCAAAGATGCGCTGGGTTCTTGATTGCAGAGGGCTTTTTTTTCTCCCAAGCTCGCCATCACTAAACAGTGACAGTAATAACAGCTAATTTTGTAGGCAATATATAAGAGCTTACCAGGGTGTGCAAACACTTTCCCACCTGGATTTGCTTATTCAACCAGCAGCAGTAAAACGGTGCAGAGCTTTTTGGGTTGTAGTCTGTGTTAGAGAAACGGGGAAAGGTAAGACTGCAGAGACTTACTCCTCTATATATGATGGTCTGTAGGCTCTTTATGGCATGAGGTTCACTCTGTTGAATGTGTTTGAAGTAATAGTTGAACGGTGTTGTGTTTGTGGGATTGGACATTTGACTGTTTTGATCATTTTTAATATACTTTTCTGAGATGTCCGGGTGAAGTGTTGTTCTCAAGAGACAGAATCTAAGGAACCGTGTAGTGGGGGATTTTTATTTTATGTATTTGTGTGTGTCTGAGTCTGAATTTGCTACTGCTGTTAGATGGAGCAAGAAGTGATACATCACTCCCTCTCTGCATCCTCCACCTTGTATATCATGTCACTCTGCTGCAATGCATCTGTCTGTCTATCTATCTGTCTATCTATCTATCTATCTATCTATCTATCTATTTATCTATCACTGGCTTTATTTTTTATTTTTTATTATTATATTTATTATTATTATTATTGATATTTTCCATTTCTCAAAGCTCAATGAAACCGTCAGTGGTTGTATCTTCTCTGCTCTGTAACCTCAGACCTGCTGCTACTACGCGGGGGCCTACAGCAGACACAGGCCCCCAGCCTGGGGGCCACCAGGTATAAGGCTCAGTGTGCGCCATGTGGGACATTCGCGACTTGACAGCTGCATGGAGCTTTTCAGCGTCGTAATTTCAGATAATATCCCGAGCGCTCACTCTTCTCAGCAATTTGTATATGAATAACCGAATAATTTCCCCCTTTTGTTCCATCTGTGCTACCTCAAATCCAAATAAAGATGCCTTTTAGTATTAAAAGTGGTTGAAAATTACAGGTAATTATCTTTGACGGTAAAAACGCTGTAATCAGCGGGCTACATCAAAAATTACCCTAATTACGCCTGCATTTATGAGAATGGGAAAAAAAGCCTCACTTGGATAAAAACCCACAAATTGTCCCAAATATCTCCTTCATATTGAACGCCACTGCAGCTGGCTGCTTTGTTCAGCATCGATCCCGTGGAGCTTGGCATTTAACGCCCTGCATTAGGATGAAGAGAAGGGAGAAAACATTTTGTCAATACTTCTAATAATTGAGGGTGAAATGACAAGATAAGCTGGACCTGGAGCAAATGGCTTTTCGGGGTGAATGTAGGCAGCGGCGTTGCGGGGTAAGTTAATTTCCTCTGCTGTTGATATATCTATATACCGCCGCCTTCTTCATCAGTCACTGAACGCTTTGGGTTTTGCGTGAGATGTTTACTCTGTTGAAATGAGCTTTTCGCTGAGCACTGTGTCATTACCTTATGTTCACATTGTCTCCTATAAGCCCGTACTCACCAGGGGTACGGGAAATGGGCCCGTTATAATGTGATGTTGGCCCAATATGCAGCATAGTGAGAGAGAGAGAGCGAGAGAGAGAGAGAGAGAGAGAGAGAGAGAGAGAGAGAGAGAGGCCTGAAAAACGATCTTAATGTTTTGGGAAATTAATGCAACAGCAGGCGTCTGTTTTGAGTCACGGTTTACTCAATCTGACAAAACATAAAAAGTGTATGTACAACTAAAACCGCAGATTATATTTACAGACAGACAAGTTGCTTGGTTTTGCATGTTGGAGAAACAACCATGGAAAGCAGTCAAGGAGTCCACCACGGCATAAGGTTCTTCTGTGCGCCACTGCGCACCGACAGTGTGAGCAGCCTTTGTCCAAAGTGGCTAAAAATGTCACTGGTATAATATTTGGTATATTGACGTTCAGATGTTGACATGAATGAAAGCATAACAGATATGCGAGCTCACTGAACAGCCATGTTACGCTAGAAATGAAATGGTTAGTTCCCCCTTGGTTGTGTCACCACCACACCGAGGCTTGGCTGCGCTTTTTGTCCTGAGGCAGAGACGCAGCGCTGCAGGCGCTGATTTATTCCTGCCTCCTCTCCAGCATCCAGTCGCTACGTTGGAAACTGCATGGCGGAGATATGCGCAGGCCTCTTAACGGACAGTCTGTGGACCTCCTGTCCTCTTCGGTCTATCTCTGCATGGAGTCCTGGTGTGGGGAGGAATACCAGTGAGAGTACCCGGGCATGTAGCTGTTGGCTGGCATGTTCACTCCTTTGGAAGAGGCAGAGACGTCCCATATTGGAGGGATGGTCGGGGACCGCGGGGAGAGGGACATGGAGCCCGGCATTGGGTCACTGTCGTGGGGGTTGCCACCCTGCTTGAGAAGCTTCTTAAATTTGGACCTCTTGTTCTGGAACCAAATCTTTACCTGTGGAGGGTGCACAGATTTATTATAGCACACATGGAGGAAACGTGTCCATACTTCTCTGCACTTATTTATTTGTGTAAAATTGTGAACTAGACACACACACATACCGGAATAAAACCATGAAAACAACCAAAGTCATTGAACTGGGATGTATGATTATTCCCATAAGCCTCGTCGTTATTACCTGGGTTTGTGTTAGTCCTAGAGAAGCTGCCAGCTCGGCCCGTTCCGGTAAAGCGAGGTACTGTGTTTGCTGGAATCGGTGGTTCAGTGCTTGAAGCTGCAAACTGGAGTAAATCGTCCGAGGTTTGCGAATCTTTTTCCCTTTGCCATTAAATCGAATTTCCCCATTTTCAATCACTGTCGTTTTCTGCTGTTCTGCAACAAAAACAATCAATATTATTATTTACAGTTGTTCAAAACCAGATTTAGTCTTTTTTTTAATGACGGAAAATATTATTATTTATTTATTATATTTTTGAATTACAGTATGTTCAGAATTTATATGAAAGTGTGTGGAAAAAGAGAGAACAAATTCAGTGCGTTAGTCGTTGGCACTGTCACTGTGCCTTTGCGCGTCGTGGCAGCCACACTCCTCATACGCTGTCATATTTAGGATATTGCTGGTAATGACATGTCAATTAAATGCTAATTACAACATTCGAGGCGAGCGGGCTGTCTAATTTCCACGAGTAGTCGGCGAGAATTGCACGATCGGGATGATCACACTCAGGGCATTAAAACAGATTCCTGTGGAACTGAAAGGAAGAGCTGCAGGCGACAGCAGGAGACGCACTATAGGCTGGGTCCACACGCTTTTCTCTCCATTTACGCATTGTTTTCTTGTGAGTAGCTCGGCAAAGTGACCGGACACTTTCTCGGACACGACATCGACACTGTCAATGAGCAAGGTTCGAGCCCCATATGGGCCACAGGCATTTTTAAAAAAGGAGGTAAACTTGAGGAAATGCGCAGCGGTTTTTTCCCTCTCTCTCTCTCTTTCTCCATTTTGCCTGGCGAACAGTGGTGGGTCTCTTACCTGTGCCGTCTAACCTTGTCTGTCCTCCCGTGTTGTTGTGATACGATGGCAGGTAAGGGCTGTGGTGCGGATGGCTCACGTAAGGGTAAGGTAAGGACCTGTTGTAGGTGTTGGTCCCGGGGTAGGACGTGCTGTTGTCGTGCTGGTGGTGAGCGTGTGAGCTGGAGTGCAGACAGTGCAGCGGGTAGTGGCCGCTGGCCATCGACGGGGAGCTCTGCTGTGACTGCGACTGCTGCCCAAACTCCATGAAAGCAGACTTGGTCGAGTCCTGAGCGTCCAGACCGTCAGCCATCGTAGTCATGGTCATCATCGAATTTTCTGCCTTGAGAGCACTCACCCCCCTCTTTCCCAAGACCAAATCGGTTTTCTCTCTCTCTCTCCCTCGCTGTGTTGTTGTCTCTCGTTGTTGTCTCTCTCTCTTTCTCTCTCTCTCTCCCTCGCCGTGTTTTTTTCTCTCTCTCTTTCTCTCTCTCTCTCCCTCGCCGTGTTTTTTTCTCTCTCTCTTTCTCTCTCTCTCTCCCTCGCTGTGTTGTTGTCTCTCTCTCTTTCTCTCTCTCTCTCCCTCGCCGTGTTTTTTTCTCTCTCTCTTTCTCTCTCTCTCTCCCTCGCTGTGTTGTTGTCTCTCTCTCTTTCTCTCTCTCTCTCCCTCGCCGTGTTTTTTTCTCTCTCTCTTTCTCTCTCTCTCTCCCTCGCCGTGTTTTTTTCTCTCTCTCTTTCTCTCTCTCTCTCCCTCGCTGTGTTGTTGTCTCTCTCTCTTTCTCTCTCTCTCTCCCTCGCTGTGTTGTTGTCTCTCTCTCTTTCTCTCTCTCTCTCCCTCGCTGTGTTGTTGTCTCTCTCTCTTTCTCACTCTCTCTCCCCTCTCGCTCCCCCTCTCTCTCTCTCCTTCTCTCTCCCCCCCCTCTCCAAGGCGAACAGATAGTGTCCTATTAACACCCGAATTTTCCACAGGCGTCTTTATTTGCCCCCTTGTCTCGTGATATTCTCACCCAAAGTGGTGGAAGGTAGGCATATGTTAAGGGAGAGATTTAAGGTGGATTCTGTTAAAATTGAGCCCCTGTTCCCAGACTTGATGCAGACACTACAAGTAAAATGGTTTGTCTCCAAAGGGCAGCGCCTTCCGATTGGTCATCCAACCCAACGTCATCAGTACTCTGCTTCACGGAGACTTGAGCTGCTGGAGTTAACCCACCTTACCAGCTCCCACCACAAGTACAGGGGAATTATTTTATGGTGGGAAAAGAAGTCTGATTCCCCGCAGACGATGTCCGCGCTGGCAACCGGCTCATTTTTAATCCATCTAGAGTTTAATCCCAATCTAAACTCCCACAAATTACGCACGACGCGAAACACACCGCGCACGGCTTTGATTTACTATCCTGATGATTTATCCTGCGAGTCTATACCATCCGTCTTCTCCCTTCTCAGCCCTTAACTCCTCCTTTCCTCTGGAATTAATTACACGTATAGGGAAGCATCCCACAAACATCCTGTTTGGAAAAGCCAGTATCCTATTTAATATTTAGCAGACGTTTTTAAAAACCAAGATGTCTGCAAACCATTTAAACATTAAAGTATGCATTTGTTATCATTTGGTAGGATTATATTTTAAAATAATTATTTTATTTAAAGAAAAATACCGTGCAACTCGTTCAGTGGATAACATGTCAATAAAATGTTTTTTTCTTTTAATTGGTTTCTTTAGCCATTAATTTAAAATATACTATTTGATTTATTTTATACAAAAAACCCAGAAATTAACAAAAAATATATCTCTTTTCTTTTTCTTTTTCTTTTTTTTTTTTTTTGCATACACCGAGTCTGCTTTTACAGCTGCATATATTATTACTGCTGTGTTTTTTCCGCGTGGATACTGACCATGTGATTAAGTATCTTCACACAATTCAAGATGCAGAGCATGTTACACATCAAATAACAATATGCTTGAGGTACAATAGGTAATTTCGCGAATAGAAGGCTGGATGGCGAGATAAATTGACAGCGTCTTTTATCCCCTGTTGGTAATGTGAGGCCTGACAGGCTCCTCAATATATGTAAATTATACACTGTGTCCCCGAGGGCTACAATATCCAACTTAGAATATTTATTTTTATATAGATGAAATGTTTTTTAAACCCCGCTTGTATTATATTCCACAGTGGATTAGAATCACATCTGTATCAGATCCCAGTTTGTATTTGTTGCGGCAGCCGTTTCACAAACAAGAAGATGAGAGAATAAAATAATTACGTTCCAATCAAGTTGCTGCGAAAACCCATTTGATTAGCGGCCACACAAATTGTAGCCATAAAAATTAAGAACAATTCGCATGTAATGATTATGGACTGGATTTATTTTGGGAGGGTGGAAATAAAAGTGGATATAGCATAAATTATCCCCTAATTATACGCTACTGTCGCCTCAATTATCCTCTTATCAAAAATGCTTGTCTAAATGCAGCGTTTAGTTTCAATTTTCTCCCCTTTTTTTTCCTCCTCTAACGAGAACTTGGTACCTTACTATTATCGTCAGCTACGGTTGTTATTTACTTTGTGGGATTTAAAAAGTGCACAACCCAGCAGGGTAATCATTTTCCAGCGGCGGACCGGGGAGAGGAGCGCACAGGCTGCAGGGAATGTGAGGCACCGTAGGACACGTCCGTGTGTGGAGATATATATATATATATATATATATATATTAGACACTCCCGTTCAGATTTGTTTGTTTAAATAATAATATTTTTTTTTATCTTTGTTTGTTTCTTCAGCTGAGGCTGCAGGTAAGAGTCCACTAAAGTTTATTTTTGGATAATTGTTATATTATATATAAAAAAGAGCTTGGCCTTTGCAGAGCTTGCAGCGTTCGCACCTTGGTCACCCCTCAGTGATTTTACACAGAGGCCAATTCCCATGTCCGTTGTTCCACTCGGACACGCAGAAGAGAAACCAGATCCCGCAGCTTTTTCTAATCGCCTGCGTGTGCGTGCTGCGCCACGAAGACACGCATGTTTTGCAGTGGATCTAAACTGTTGTGGCTTAGAGGAAGAAGAAAAAAAAACACACCGAAAACTCAATGCAATGAGACATGTTGTTAAAAACATGAAACATTTTGCATCGGTTGAAACTGCGGTGCAGCAGTGCGGGATCATGTCACGAGTGTCGTGGAGACTTCAGTGGACACCGTGATTTGAGGTGAATGTGCTGAAAGGACGGATGTGTTTAAACAGAAAGACACATCCGACCCTTGGTGTTTTTCAAACGTTTAAAGACTGGACTTAGTGTGTGTCCGCTGATAGCAAATGCAGCACGTGGAAATAAATAAGATAAATTCAGGCGGAACGCAGAGCTTTTCTGTAGCAAACTGGGATTATATAATCCCCTATCCTAATTATGTGTCATACTCCTGATCATCTAAATGTCAGTTAAAATTTGAACCGTGTCCAGCTGCAGATCTAGAAATCACTTTGTCCCCATAAGTAGATGATTGACCTTCAGCACAGTCTCTGACCGTGGTGGTTTAACAGAAGTGGTCTTTATTTCCAGCTGTCTTATAAACGCTGATGAATGACTCTCTAAAATCACTCCATCCACCCAGCCACAGTGGATGGACCAGACCTGGGATTTCCCTGGTGTCTATTGTCTGTTTTGTTTTGTTTTTATCCTGGTGTGACCTGGACCAGGCCAGTGTACAGCTGATTAAAGCGCCCTGAATGTAATGGGAAATAATTGGAAATACCAGTACGCTTGCCCAAGAGTAGCGTTTTGCATAAAACTCTCAGGAGGCCTTTTTTTTTTTTTTAGTTCTAACTAGTTCACTCTCCTCTCCCTGCATCTGTGTCGCTGGTTATTTTAACACTGCGCCTCTTTTTCGGTGTCTATCTGGCCGCGTGTGTAAATCATCCTTGAGCTTTCACACCGAGTTCCAGGGAGAGGCCAGGCGTCTGTGGTCGCCTCGCATAAAGGGCCACCCGAAAAAAAAAAAGAGCCGGGCGGCTGAGGACGCCGAGGCTTGTCACTGCAGACAGAGACCCGAGAATCACTTAAACAACATGTCTCCCTTCTCCGCAGCGCAAAGCCACTGGTGCGTCACAGACAGCCAGGCGTCAACGACTCTCCATCTCTGCCTCGTGGAGGGCGGGAAGTGGCGAAGGGAAGCACAGATGCATACCACACAGCTGTCAGTGAAGAAGAACACAGGTCATTGTAGCTGCACTGAGAGGGAGAGGCTCTTCCAACACACGCACACACACACACTCCTGCATCTACCCCCAAAAGCTCTAACCTCCCCTGCAGAATTTATATGCGCTCATGATGGCGCGCCGCTTTTACGCACACAAATTGCGCGCAGTGCACGGATGCAAACCCACTTATGCGACGCTTTGATGTGTTCTGTAAAAGCCTTGCAACTACACCAAGAAAAATTAGTGTGGTTTTGTCATAAAGCAGGCCGTCCCTGCCTCGGGCACTCGACTGTTTACAATAAGTTCTGCATCATAAATTAGAATGCCATTATTTCCCGATTAAATGGCCCAAATTGGCATATGCATGGCCCCAGGTGCAGGGCCTTCAGATGGACCCGGCGTGGCTTGTTGGTGGTGGAGCTAAACAAGGACAGAAAACGGGAATAGGACTGCACCAGTGAGTCTTCAGCGCCACTCGTGGACTAATGAATTTAATTTGGCACGACTGAAGCTGGGCCGGACCCACGCAGGGCCCGCGTCCTCATTAAGACTGCTTGTTTCCCTTATCACCCTCTCTGTCCTAATGTGAAGTGGCTGCGCTGCTCCTCTGATTTTTCATATGTTGTCATTTGTCTGTGATTCGAAGGCAAGCAGACGTGAAATTCTATAATTTGGTGAAGATTAACGGCAGATTACGCATGGAAATTGTCACATATCCATCACATGTTCAAAGAGACGTGCTCTGGGGGGGGGGGGGGTTCTTTTTTCTGATTGTGCCTGAGACATGTGATGTACAGCAGAATCTATTTACATACATGCATAAAGTGGATGTGTGGGTGAGTGTGTCCCATGGCGCGGTGGTTTCCCTACTTTCCCTTCTCGACTTAATACACGACATTATTAGGTCTGACAGCACAGTGGTCGGTCTTGAAGGAGAGGATTTGGTCGGTAGATGACAGACAGGAAGGCCAGCAATCATGGGCTTTTTTTTTTATCAGAATGTACTGTTCGATGCCGTTTATCCCTGATGATAGAAAATTGCTCTGTTGCCAGGACGCTGCCGCCGAAATAGAGGGCAGGAGCAGAACATTTCCATTTTCCAGTTTGAAAGCCATTGAAATGAATTAGTAAAA